AACCGGTGGGGAACGCGAGGGAGTGGACAACTGCAGGAAGGGCCGAGAGAGGTACCGACGTAGAGAGAGGGAGAACGATACGAGCGTAACGGTACGTTGCGGGAAAAGGGGTCGGCGGAAGTGAGAGGAAGGGACACCGGCCACCTTCACCAGCACGCGGTTACGCCATCTTCATTCTAATTCCGCGCGCCAAAGAGCGTTTCATCATTCAAAAAACCCTATCGAGTGCGTTGGGCGTTACAAAATGACGCTAGACCGTTCATTATGGCTATCCGCCAAAAGGTGCGCTGGAACGATTTAAACAGACCAGAGGTTTTGACGTAGGAAATTACATACATAACAAAAGGCGATTTTTATTTTTTCAGATATAAAGACATATACTAAACAAGTGAGATAGAGTGCTGTATATTTTTCGATCTGGGTTACTATATGTGTACCCATGTGCAGGGAGCGTGTCCACCTTGACACCATATAATTTGATATCTTTCTTGACTTGCGCGTGAAATCGTACCGATCACGTGTTTTGCAGATTGGCATGAAGTAGCACCTTATTTTCTGTTACAATTTCCTAGTCAGTGGTGCGTTGCACGAAGGTCGCATAACCTCTCTCGTGAGTTTTAACATCCAACTAATGATCTCAGCATATGCCCAAGGAAATATAGCGTATCGCCCTATTCGGCGAACTGACTAACCCTTACATCCTCAGCTCTATTAGCTATCCATTCCAGACGATCTATGTACTTCTGATCGCGGGTCTAAAAAATAGGCTTTATTGTCCAGAGCTTAACGTCGTTCAAAATATCAACCTTATTAGTCAGCTGCGAGAGTAAGTTTGGAAACATTATTAGAACCACGTTTGAAAAAAAAATTGTGTGGAAAACACGGAATTATTGCGCGGCGGGGATTTCCCCACAGCTTAATTTTCCACCACCAGCTCCTCCTTATTTATGAGGAGTAGTGACCGAAACCGGCATCTCGGGAATATGTGCAGTATAGTTTCTCTTAACGTAGGATCAGTCGCTCAAAAGATTGAACAACTAAGAGCTGTGGCCTTTGAGTTTGACCAAAATGCTTTGTGCATCACAGAATATTGAGCTTACTCTCTAATTTCTAATTCGGCGCTCGTTATAGATAACCGCAGCTTATACCGACAGGACCGTGTTGAAGAACATGGCGCTGGTCGCCTCCTTAATAGCAAAGGCTCATTTTGCACATTTTCCTTATGAAATGAACATTTAATCCTTCTCTGGAAATCCCTGCTTTGCTTCGGCAATCCCTTCGCAAAATAGAAAGGCCTTAATCGGATGTGTATATAAAACAATTTTTACTCCATAAGTGAAAGCCACCTCTTTGACCTCTAAAAAATCGCAGAGATTTACAAGGAAGACGTTTAAATCAAGTGCAAATTCATACATTGTCCAGAATTTTCATAAAAGCAGACATAAAAAGCTACCGAAGCAGCTTTAAGATCCATCTGTAAACTCATTGTCGCTTACATTAAGAATCGCTGAAATATTTTAATTAGTTTTAAGGCTTGTGGTAGATAGCCGTAGAGTCTTTAGATATGGTTTAAGGGTCAGAAAATGGTTTTAGGGTCAAGGTAAAGCCGCTGGTTTTAAATTTGAAGATAAGTGGAGGATATTATTTTAAGTGGGTTTTCTGTGAGACCTAACGATCTTGGCCCCATATTTTTTGGTTGAATTTCCTTAAATACATGCCTCTTCTCTCAGAACTGCCTGCTGCCA